TCCAGCTATAGGAGGGTGTCAAGGAAACAAAGAACTTCGGAATCACTTTTTCTCAATAAAAAATAAGAAGTCAGGTTGGTTTTATTTTTTGTGCCATATATATTTTCTTGCTCTTTGTACCTTGTATTAACACGTTTAGGTGCTACATACATTCAGAGTGTGCATATGATAACCGTAACGATCTACTAGACAATCACGCAATTTGGAAGTATTTTATGAGAGATGATATTGAAATGTGATTGTTATTTCTGTAAATGCTCGCATGTACACAAGTAGCCTTACTCACCAACGCCCAAATATACTTATAAACGTTCATACTCTCTTTCTCTCTTACTCACACACACAAACGAACACACACACACACACCGTACCAACACAATCTTACACTTTGAATATAAAGTTCCTAGGACTGTTCTTACATACCTCGAAAAATATACATCGTGTATCAGTCACTCTAATACTGAGATTCCCTCGACCAAAAGCCTTATATCCAAATCACAGCACGCTACCACTACCGAGTTCCCTTGTAAAAGCTGAATCAACCAGGATGTTCTTAAGCATCGTGCCAGTTTTAGTGGAGTCCTATATCCCCCCACCCCCCCTCCCCCACCTCCCTACCTACCCGATCTGGTTGATGCCGACGAGCACGAGAGCTGCGAAGGGCCATCCGGGAACCCACGGGTCGTCCAGGTGGAGAGGGAAACACAGGCCGTTCGTCCCGTAGAAGCCTCGGGGGGTTCCCTGGTAGTAGAGCTCTGGGGGGGGGGGGAGAGGAAGGGGGAAGGAGGGAGGGGAGAGGGGAGAGGAGAGGGGAGAGGAAAGGTGATGGAGAGAGAGAGAGATGGAGAGAGAGAGAGAGAGAGAGAGAGAGAGAGAGAGAGAGAGAGAGAGAGAGAGAGAGAAGGAAAGTAGGGAGGTTGAGAGTGTGAACAGGAGGATGGTTGGTATAGAAGGAGAAAGGACGTGGGGGGGTGGGGGGGTCAAACATAAAAGTTAGAAAAAAAACAATAATGAGCATACAAATAAAATATTCAGATCTTGTATAATCACATTGTTAGGATATATACAACAGTGTGAATGATGAAAACACTTTACCGTGTTGATACTATGGTAGAAAAGCCCACAATGTAAAAACTAGATTTATTGAAAATGAGACAACAGTTTCGGAATCCTTAATCGAATATTCAGCGGGTAATAATTTAAAATATTGATCAAAAGGGGAACTAATGTAGATAATTCTCTATTTTTTTTTGTAATTTTAGAAATATAATTTTCGTTATTATATGTAAGTATATCGTTCTTACTTCAAAATTCAATAAATGCATCCACAAACACAGGCACAACGCAATCACCACCTATGGGTCAAGCACCTCCTGTAACGCAGACACTTAAAACACACCTACCATCCTTTGTGTCCCAACCCCCCTCTCTACACCTCACACCTCCCCCACCCCCTCTCTCTTCACTCCCACCCTTACCCATCATCCATATCCCCTTCTCTCTGCCCCATGACATGCCATCCCACCCTATCTATACAAAATTCCCCTTCCTCCTTCCCTCTCTCTCACCACCCTTCCCTCCCTCCCTCCCTCCCTCCCTCCTACCACCCCCTCCCTCCCTCCCTCCCTCCCACCACCCCCTCCCTCCCTCCCACCACCCCCTCCCTTACCCCTCCTTCCCTTCCCTCCTACCACCCCCTCCCTCCCTCCCTCCCTCCCACCACCCCCTCCTTTACCCCTCCTTCCCTCCCCCCCTCCCCTCCCACCATCCCCCCACCCCCTCCCCCTCCCTTACTCACGTGGGAGGACCGCCAGGGCCAGACCGCACACCCACAGAACGGAGAGGATGATACGGGCGGAGGCGAGGGAGAGACCGGGAGACCGAAGTGGACGGGCGATGCATACCAGTCTCTCGACCGACATGAAGGCTAGTACCAGGACAGAGACCTTTATACCAAAAAAAGAAAAGAAAAGAAATGAATGAATTGATGGAAAAAGAAAACAAAAAAAGAGAGAGAGGGGGGAAGGAGGGGGGGGAGGGAAAACGAGAGTAAGAAGGGAAATGGAAAAGAAAACTGAGAGTTGGGGGAAAAGAGAGAAAAAGAAAAGAAATGAATGAATGATGGGAAACTAAAAAAAAAGAGAGAGGGGGGGAGGAGGGGGGGAGGGAAAACGAGAGTGAGAAGGAAAATGGAGAAAAAAACTGAGAGGGAAAACGAAAGTTGGGGAAAATGAGATAAAGAGAAAAAGAAAAGAAATGAATGAATGATTGGAAACTAAAAAAAAGGAGAGAGGGGGGGAGGGGGAGGAGGAAGGTAGGGAAAACGAGAGTGAGAAGGAAAATGGAGAAAAAAAAATAAGAGGGAAAACGAATGTTGGGGAAAATGAGATAAAAAGAAAAAGAAAAGAAATGAATGAATTGATGGGAAACGAAAACAAAAAAAGAGAGAGGGGGGGAGGAGGGGGGGAGGGAAAACGAGAGTGAGAAGGAAAATGGAGAA